GTATTATAACGAAAAGGTTTTTCGGATTCAGAGAATTTTATTCGAATGTGACGTATCCTTTGTAATCCTAATGACCCATGCATTTTATAACATAATTCCGAAGAAACTCAAACACAATACATGTATAATAATACAAGCTTTGCAACGAAATTCGCAATGATTAAATTGCTTTTATGATGAATATTATTTAGTGTATCAACTGTCCTACCCTCAGTTAATTATTTTTTTGGTTACTACAAAATTCTTTCACCCATGTGATGAAAATATAATTGTCATATTTGAAAAGAGTTTATTGATATTGAGTCCATTAATTTAAAGATTCTAGTTGATTCTTTACTATTATAGTTTTCTAGCGAAATTCAATTAGCAAATGGCAAAGTCGACGCATTTGTTAATAAGACTCTGACTTTTGACAGGGATTTAAAGATTTATTATAGTTTTGACAATGTTTTGCCAAAAAACTAAAATATTATTATCATGCACCATTTGTTTGTCAACGGTCAGATGCTCATTCCCTATAACATCTTGTATTTCATGTCGACCAAATGCCTCCAATTCAGTAAATCATAGTGTGATTAGCCATTCAAAATTTGATGATGCTTCGAGGATTAGCGTGAGTTGAAGCATCATTTAATAAGTCAATTGGTTTCAAATTTCTGATATCTCTTATAGAGCTTTTCTTAGAAAATGCTGATAATATCGATTTTGTACAGTCGCGTCCGAAAGTGATGCCCGATTTAAAATTAATGTCAAAATGGCAAAACTTTATTGATTTTCATTAAAATTCACATAAAAAATAATTACTAAAAATGGTTAATAATGTGTTGGCCCTCCCTTTGCTTCTAGTACTGCTTTATTCTTTGTGGCATTGAAGCAACAACCTCTCTTCAAAAATGGAGCAATCAAAATTTCCCATTCTTCGCTTAGTGCAACTTTAAGTTCACTCACAGTTCTTGGAAAGACCTTACAACTCTGGATATTGTCTTTTAACTGCTTCCAGATGTTTTCTATTAGATTTAGGTCAGGAGAATTTGCCAACCACAATATTATTCTTCAACCAATCCTTGGTTATTTTTGCGGTAAGAATAGGTACATTATCCTGTTGAAAAGTTGCAGCCCTCCCTATTAACTCATGAACTATATGCTGGAATGGATATAGATATGAATTTAGGATTCTAATGTAAGTATTTGAATTGTTTTTTTTATTTCCTTCTTTATTTTCATCACAAAAAATTAATGGCCCTTTTATCCCTCCTGCAAAACATCCCCAAACTATGACCGATTTTTGATCACTTTTAAAGGTAGGTGTCAAGCATTCAGTGTTAAACCTTTTCCTTGTGTGTTTCCAAACTCTTATTTGTCATGACTGCTTGCCAATTATCAATACTCGATTCATCTGAGAAAATATCTTATGCCCAATCATAAGCTGTTTTTTCTTTATATTTCTCATACTAACTAATACGAACTAATGCATGCTTTTCTAATATAAAAGGTTTTTTTGCAGCAATATGAGAATAAATTCTAACATCATGTAATGCTCTTTAAGCAGTTGTAAGGCTGCAACTTAAACCTAGTATATTAATAACTTCATGTAAAGATTCGTATTGATCTTATGTAACTTCATTTATAAATGCATTTTTTTCATTATTATAGAGAGCAGATGGATGCTCTGATCTAGGTAAATTTTTAGTTTTTTCTGTCTTCTTATATCTGTTAATAATTCTTCTTAATGTGGTGAAGTCATAACCATTTTTTTTTGCTATTTATGTAGGGTTAAAATTCTTTAAATATGCAAGTATTTCCCTTATCTTAAGAAGTTAACTCAGTTTTATATGATATTATTTTTTTAATTTTATAATGTATTTATTAGATTATGAATTATGAGAAAAATATTTAAAAATAAAAAAAAGAAGGTATAAATAATGTAAATTTGGTATATTATAACATTGTACAAAATTGGCATCACTTTCAAATATGATAGTACATAAAGTAAGTACACAGGAAGTAATAATATTACTAAGTAAAAATATTTCAGTAATTTTTTTATATTGCAATATTTACAGTAAACAATTAATATATTCATTTGTATAAATACATTTAGAAAAGTTATTTAAGACAAGATCAAGAGACTATTTTTTTTTGACTGATTGCTAACTTTAAAATAAACGTGAT